ATATATTATATATCTTAAATTATATACTTACTATTGTAATATATTATATACTATATAGACTTTATTTTATTATATATTTATGTATATTTTCTTATATATTCTTATTTATTTTATTTTAGTATATATATATATAAGTTGCATATTAATTCTTTGTGTTATCTTTTTTTTTTTATATATATTATATTTTATTTTATTTATATATATTATATTTTATATTTATATATTTTGTTTTGTCTATTATTTTTTCTTTCATCCACATAATGTTAATATTATTGTTTTTCACAAACACAATGTCTTTATTGATTATTTTTATTTTTATTTCTTTTATGCTTTGTTTTATTAATTTTCTTATCATTAAATGTTATTATATGAGTGATTTTTTTTTGTGTTTTTCTTTTATATATATTTTTTTTTTCATTTCTTTATGTTCACTATTTTTTTTTTTTTTTTGTAAGTATTTCATCATCACATTCACTACAATCATCTACATCATTCATAGCATACCCATCACATAATCACTACACACTATCATCTATCACTACAACATCACTAACACCATCATCTCTTTTTTTTCTTTTTTCATACACCTCACATACTAGACTACATCGCTGTTTTGTTTATTATTATTCTAGCTTACACACTCACACGACATCATTCATTTGCATTTATTAACACCCTACTACACACACATCTTTTCCATTTTTAATCATCATCACTAATTAGTATATTATTTTTTTCATTTTATTATTATATATATTATTATATTTTTATAATACTATTATTATATGTATGTTATGTTATACTTATATCTTTTTTATTTCTTTCATTTATATATTATTTTGTTTTGTGATATGGTGTTATGTGTATGTGTGTGTATGTGTAGTGATGTGTGTGTGTGTGTGTGTGTGTGTGTGTTGTGTGCTTGCTTTTTCCGTGCTTCTATTATCTATATATTTTTAATTTTATAAAGTTATATCTCTTTTTATTTTATTTTTATTCTTCTCTCTCAATCTGCCATATTGGTATATTTCTGTTGCTTACTATGTGCACATCAACACAATCTATCACCCATCGATCATTTTATATATATATATTTATTTTATATATTATATATATATTATTTATAATATATATATATAATTTTTCTTTAATATATGTTCGTGTGGTTCTGTGTGTGTGTGTGTGTGGTGTGTGTTGTGTTGCTGTGTGTGTTGTGTGTTGTTGTAGTGTGTGTGTGTTTATGTGTGTGTGTGTGTGTGTGTTGTTTTGTGTGCTTTTGTGTGTGTGTTTGTGTGTGTGTGTGTTGTTGTGTGTCTGTGTTCTGTGTGTGTTGTGTGTGTGTGTGTGTGTGTGTGTGTGTGTTTGTATGTGTTTCTTCTTGTTGCTGTCGTTCTGTGTGTGTTTGTTTTGTGTTGGTGTGTTGTGGTGTGTGTGTGTGTTGTGTGTTAATGTGTGTTTGTGTGTGTGTGTTGTTATGTGTGTTGTGTGTTGTGTGGTTGTTGTCGTGTGTGTGTGTGTGTGTTGTGTGTGTGTGTGTGTGTGTGTGTGTGTGTGTGTGTAATATAAGTATATTATTATTTTATTATTTTATTTCATTATTTTTTATTTCTATATATCATTTTATATATTTTGTTTTATACTATTATATACTTATATTATATTTCGTTTATTCTCTTCATTATATATCTTATTATGTAATATCTTTTTCTTCTTTTTTCTTCTTCTTGTTTTGTATATTATTGTCTATTTTTTAATACATTATATCTTCGTAACAAACATCACATCACACACTTCATACACTACACACTACGACACAATCAGACTACATCACACACACACACTCACTCACACACTATATTGATCACATCACACCACACGATATTCCTTCATATACGTTGCACATACTCACTACTACGAGGTCAGAGTCATTCACACATCACACACACGCTCACGGGAGGTCACTGACACGGAGGGTTCTTACTATCTCTATTCTATTATTATCATCATTGTTTTGGTCACGCTTACTAGCGAGGCTCGGACATTATAGTTTATATGTATTTAGTATTTGGGGTTATTTATTTATAGTGTATTTTGTTATCGCTTTTAGGATGTTTGTAGACATTATGTATTGTATGATTGTGTTATATTGTTTTTTTCTGTTTTATTTTTTATTTTTATTTTGATTGTTTCAATGAATATTTATTATTTGCCCATATGTATGTGATTGTGTTGTTGATTATCATTATTATGCTTATTTTTTAGTAAGTAGTTGTGTATTTATTGATTTATGTTCTTTTTCTTTTTTTTGAGGGTTTTCTGTTTTTTCTAACTGGTGAGGTGAGGTGTTTGTATAATGTTTTATTATTTATTACTACTGTATATTAGCTATAATATTATGTATACTGTATGTCATTTATATTCTATAGCACACATATATGTATATATGTATAGTTTATTATTATATATATAGTTAGATATATATGTATATATATATATTATA